GAAGAGAGAACAATTTGTTTCATAATCAAAATTAGTCAGTTAGTAACACTGCCCCTCTCTCACATGAATTTTTCAGAAATTAAATTGCAAGGAAGAAACCACGTGTGTGTGCTACATTGGCAATATGGCTTTTGATGTAAATGTACAAAACTTCATCCCATAGCCAACCATTTTAGTGAGACATGCAGAAATAAAACCATTATACATCTTTTTATGCAATCCTGCATGGGCAAATGAATAAAACAAATCGTTTGACGTAATTTCTAAAAACCACTGTTGAGTCCACCCTTTATCTTAAGGATAGCTTTGCAGGCTACTGACATCCACTTTGGGGATTTAGGACTGTGTGAATAGATAAGTTTTAAGTGTAATGATCGATACTTTTGTGAAAAATAATATAAAGCAAAAAAAATAATTTGGAATGCTTCTAGCACTCTTCAACAATGACAGTAAAACCTAAATGCCTCAAACCAAATAGCAGTGCAAAGTACAATTAGCTCATCAGGAATTTTACATCAGCTCCTTGTGAGAGGTCTTTGATGCAAAAGAAATACAGTCAATAATGTAACATATATTCTGAAAGTAATGTAAACCTCTGTTTTTCTTTGTAAATTCTGCATTCTACGACTTATTTATCTGACAGCCTGTAATTGTGACCTCTGATAGCTCACACCTGTGAAGTTTTTAATTAAATTTAGGTGTCTGAATGAGTTCTTAGAACAATTGCTGTAAGTAATAATTAACTTAGTATCAGTTAATGTCATATGTAGTTCATTAGCATGACCAGTCTCTTAAACCTCACAATGCCTCTACTAATAGAAAGTAGGGTTTCACTTTCTTAAATTTACTATCTTTGAAATAAAAAATAAATAAATCTGTTTAATACTTATTATTCTTCCCATTTAAAAGGTTTTCTTTAGCAATAGCACTTGCAAAGGCATTAAAGTACACAGATTTTGATCTATTGTATTCAAGTGTTGTTAAAACCATATTGGTGTGAGAAAAACAAAACCAAAAACAGGTTTTACCAGCCTTTGACATGTTAAAAATAATATGCTACTGTTCTTCAAACTGTAGTTAAACTCTCACTGGCTTAAGAAGAGGGTCTACCAGAGCTGTAGTAATTTTCTTGTTCAGAATGTAATGGAATTGCATTTATCTTTGTAGACATTTTTACAGAACTTGGTCTGAAATTCTGATT